CACACACACACACACACACACACACACACACACACACACACACACACACACACTCCAATCCAAATGACCATATCAATCAGTGGCTTAGAATGCCTGAACTGGAGCAGATTGTCCACAACAGAGACAGAAATAATATCCTTGAAGGTCACATGACTTGCCCAAGGTCATACAACTAGCTAGCAGAAGAGCCAAGAAAGTAACTCCTGTACTCTGTCTCATGAGTCTCAGTTGCCTTCGCTCCACCGTGCTGTCTTCAAGTTATAATAAGCCTTAGACCATACAGAAAATTTCAAACTCCAGGTCTAAGAAATAATCCCTTCATTCTCCATGGCCCTCATTTCCTCAGAGTTTCAGCAATTAGCCACACTCTAATGGGAATGTGGGGCTTCCATGAGGCTTCAAGTCCTTCCCAGATAAGTGTCCCTTTAGAACTCATCTTGCCAAAGGTAATATATGAACAGGTGGGGTCATCATCAAAGGAGGGGGAGAATGGTATCTTGACTTAACTCACTGGGGAGTTGTGGAAAAACCTCCCTAGTGCATTGGCTTGTAGACTGTTAACAGACAGCATTGAAAGGCACAGTCCCAGAGCCAGCCAAAGCCTCCGAGTTGAGCATTTGCAAGAGGAATTAGCGAGTCCCAGCTGCATTTCCTACCATGAAGAGACAAAACCTCCCCCAAGAAAATCATCTCTTGATGGCTGATAAAAATAGAATTGCAATTTACCCTCCCATCGACGCCCCCCCACTTGAGGCTCTCCTGGTGTATTTTCCATCGTAATGGCTGATGTAGATGGATTCCCGGGGTCTGGAACACCACTGATGACATTAATGGTCTTGGGCTCCCTGAATTTTGATTGATTGCTGTAATCTGCAAAACTATTTCAGGACATAGATTTATTATTATTAAGCCTATAAAATGGGATCAGGGTCAAGGCGAGCCAATGATGTGTGCTGTGAGGCAAAGACTGGCAGCTACCCTGTAACACAAGTGAATGGCGGGATGGGACAATGTTTCATCTCACTCCTGACCTGACAGCAGATCTTTTCCCACAGGGGAAGCACATTTAGACCCCACAAAGACCAGTGGGGATGGGAATGGAGGGAGGGAAGATAAAATGTGTACTCACCACTCCGTCCTGTGTTTCTGAATCCCTTAAAGACATTTTGACAGAATTTTCACTCAGTTCATTTAGATGTAGTAAAAATGCTCTCGATTTCTCTCTCCCCTCTGCCTTTCCTAGCCCAAAACCAGTTGCTTTTGGAGTGTCAGAGATTTAAACATGGATGTTATCCCATGTAAGTGCTCTGAAAGAGAGAAGAAAGAACTAAGCCGAGATGATATTACTAGCCATTTTCACCATTTTCTCTTTTCTCCTGTCTCTCCTACAGAAGGTGTCTGGCTCCAATATTAAGAGCAAAGAAATAGATCACATATTGGGCTGCATTTCA